CCCATTCTTTCAAATTCTTTTACTAACCAGGAAAGGTCAACAGGTCAGCCTGGCCATTTCCAATGAGCTGCACACCGTTGTACGCGTCTTGGGACAGTGAACTCAAATCTACCTTCAGAATTTGCGGAACGATTCTCTGACGGAGTTATGGAGGGTCTTATCCCCGCGTGGTCGTTTCACATGCTATCGCGAGGAAACGTGGAAGCGTCTTTACATTTATGTATGGAGTCATGCTGAAACGTGGTAGTAGAGCGCAACGGGTAGGGAGCGGTTTCTTAGGCGAGACGTCGTAGGATCGGTTCTGGGGCAGACGGCTTTTTTTGCATTTGTCCAGGAACATAGCCGACAAAGCTTCTGACATCTCTGATCGCCTGCACTGCCTTATAAGGGAACCTGCAGTTTTTTTTTCGAAAGTGTAGACCCATTGTGGCCTGAAAGAGTGTTCTGCTTGTACCCCTCGTAACACGTGTCACAAGGGTTTTTGCAATGAAATACCATCATATTCATGTTCAGCGGGTTAAATTACCCCTGGGGACAAGTTTCTAGCCGAATCTGATATTTCGACCTCACTTGGAAAATGTGGGCTATTCCATGGGTAATTAGCAGCAGATTGGAGCTCACCTACCATCGATGACTGGTCTCGGAATGGGATTTCCTCCCGATAGTCAAGAAAATGATGCAGACGGCACAAATAAGTAAGCCAGGTACTGTTGTTTGCGAAAAGACATGACTGAAGAGTTATTTCAGTTCGAAGACCAGTCATCACCAGTATGCTGGTCGTAGTATCGCTGTTGGCTATCAGTCAGCCATGACTATCCATACCCATTTTTTTTTCGAAGTTGAGTCAGAAGCTCAGACTTCGCTAAGGTGACGTCCCTAGGGGTTATTTGACCCCCTGAACACGAATATGATACCTGTTTTGCGCGAAGAGCGCTGTGAGTCGCGCTACATGTGCCAACGCTTCGGCGCCAGCGCCGTAAGAAGAAAAATAGTGAAGAAAAACCCTCTAACTCCGCTCAGAGAATCGTTCCGCAAATTTTGTAAGATAGTTTTGAGTTCACCGTCTCAAGACGGGTACAACGGATGTGCATCTCATTGCAAATGGCCAGGCTGACCTGTTGACCTTTCCTGGTCAGTTTTTTGTGAATTCCCGCAAAAACGGCGTAGCAAGAAAGGAACCCATTTTTGTGCATCCTTCGCATTTGGACGCCCTACAACCAAGCAAGCAAAGCATTTCCAAAAAGCGCGCACACGACCTGGAAAGACCTCCGCTTGTTGAGGCCATGCAGACCCCTCCCCCTAGCGACAAAATACGAACCCCCCCCACCGCAGTTTGGAGATCCCCAACGATGATGTGCCCTGCTAGAGTAGGCGGAAACAACTTGGAACAAGACAGAGAGTTGCGTATTTTCAAACAGTTCTCTTGGATTTTTCATTAACTTTCACTCAGAAATGTTCATTATTCTTTTCTGCCAAAGATAGAAGTGAGTAAAATCGGGTTTTATTTCATTCGATCATTTTGACTCGACATAGATTTTATACTCATTGATACAGGTGAAGGAAGTTCAGTCAGAGCTTTTTCCAACCTACATCCTGAAATTTTGTTTGTCGCACACCAATTATAGGCCTGGTAAGACATTCAAGGAGGATGCACAATCAAGTCATTGTCAGAGCAGAATGTTGGAAAATATTGCAATATATCACAGAGCAAAGACATCAGGACCATTTTGCCGCATACTCCAAGGAAGGTAGTGCTGTAATGGCACACAAAACAAGCCGCATTTACTATTACTTTGCAAGAGAACGGAGGTCAAAGATCTTGTCGAAAGAAAAATCCCTCATCGTTGATAAGCTGAGAGGCTTTCGTTTCGAACAGGTAGGAGGGCGTTTTGAGATTTTGCGCCGCTGTAGTGCGGGTTGGCAATTTCCAGCCCAGCGCTACTCCGCCACTTTGTGATTCCGCCTATGCAGTCAGGAGTTCTTAAATAGTAGAGTTCTTCAAGCGGCCGTAATTACTCTCATTGCTATACGTGGACCCTACAGGCTGACATTCGATCCAAGATTGCAGAGATTAACTACCTAGGCAAATTGCCCTAGAACAGGTTGCAAGGGTAAACATGTCTGAGCCTCAAAAGAATCCGGGTGCAAAAAGGATTTGACTTCTTTGTTTTTCATTTTGTTTGAAATAGAATGACGTCAATGAGACATTGCAGCCTCAAATACAGGCCAGTCTGGACGGGAGTTCCCTCTTTTGTTTTTAGCAGACTTGCTATCAAAACAAATAAGTTACCGTTCCCGGAAGTTAACCCTTCCTGGAGCAAGGAAGATGGTTACATAATTACTTAAAACTGTAGAAAGCAGATTTTTTGTGATTGCAGCAGGTTTTTTTTCATTACTGTAGATAATGCTTCAATAAGTATCACATACCGTTGAGCGTAGCACGTCTGGCACAACCATTTTGAGCGATACGCTCCACGGCGACACATGTTGCACAGCAAGCGTCCACACTGGGCACAACGAGTGCCAGCATTGAAGATTAAGCCGAGACGGCAACGACAATGAAAGCACGCACGACCCGTTGGTGGGTCAGGGGTGGACCTGAAACGAGCATGAATGGAAGAAAAATGTGTGAAATGGTATTTTGCTTAACTTTCCGAAGGAGAACTAGTGGTCAACAGCAGTATAGGACCGACTGGCTGCTGATAATGCGGCCCTTTCAGACAGAGATTCCTATTAGCATTGAGAGGAGAGGTCGCTCAGGGTGTAGAGCGCTTCTTCAAAGCAGCAGTATGCATTATTTAGGGACATACACTAATGATCCCTGCAAGCAATAGGGCGCGTAGCGCGGCGCGCATTGGGCATTTCCCACCAATGATGCCATTCTGAGCCCGCTACAATTGGTGGGAAATCCGAACTGGCTGTGCTCTGAGCCCTACCCCGTCAGAAGGGGGTAGGGCTCGGAGCACAGCCAGATCGTAAGCAGGGATCATGAATGTCTACATCGAGCCAAAAAAGACTCATTCCGGCAGCATGATTCCGTAACTGCCAGAAGAGTAGTAAAAACTGCAAACTGTTCAGGAACTGCAACTTCTGCAGCTTTAATGCCTTGTGTCATACTAGTATGCTTGCAAAATAGGAACTGTTCCCTTCTAAGTTCAATCAGGTCTAGGGGGAAACGGGACGTTGAGCCGCAAAGCGGACTCTAAAACCCCTGATTTGATGGTCTGACTGTATTGAAAATATTTTTCCTTCAGTCGGTCTTCTCTGAAAACCCTGTTCTTACCAACTGTGTACCACAGAAGGCCTATATCCCTTCGTTCGAGAGCCGTACGTATATGCTAAACTTCCCACATGTACTGCTGGATTCCAAGTGCTACCACTATGATGACATGGATTACCCCTTCATAATAGCGAACAAGCATTTTAACCCTCTCGACGCGACTGACTGGTACAGTCGGGCGTCTAAAGATCTATTTCTTATAATAACTGGTAGCTAAGGCAAGCCAGACCAAGCATCCAACATTTCAACGAGTTCAGTACCAATGCTTATGTAGTCGAAGGCATGGCGTAATATAAAAAAGACCGAATTATAATCATCAATTCACCATTATTTTCAAAACCACGCAATTTCTCTTCAATGACTCACCTAGCAACAGTGGGACGATTACTTCGAAACGAAGCGATGCTGACCATACTGTCCGATGAAACGCTCTGCATCAATGGGTAGCCGGGTGGCCGTCTTCTCACCACTGGTGGCGGTGGTTGCATTGGTTGCATTTCTGACAATTCCACATACGTTTTCAACTGCCTAAAAATGCATTCTCAAGAGGAAAAATTCTGACTTCACACAGAAATTTGAATAATGTTCTTTATTTTTCACGACACCGAATGATGATCTTACCGTACACGAGCCTTTTCCCTCCGCTGAAACTCCAAATCACGTTCCAATACCGGCCGAATGATGGCTTGCTCTCGAGGACTAAGTTTTTTCAGCATTTCATAGAGCTGTTCAGCTTCTTCCATAGACATTGCACCTCGAATAGAATTCCACTTGTTGTTGTTGGAACAGCGTTCAAGACAGTAATCTACGTTATAGCATTATTCACCCTTTGATACCTCTACCCCTTGAATCATCACTCTTTCAAAAATAACAGACATTATGGCAGAAATTTTCATTGGTGGCGGGAGAAGTGGCGAACTTCCCAGAACATTGGAGCAGCTTTAGCGCCCGGCATAGCACGTCACAATGGGCGAAGTTTTCCATGCTTCCTTGATGCTGCTATGCTAGTTCTTCAAACCTGTCTTCCAAAGACAGACGGGTTCGAAGAGTGAACATGGCAGCACCAAGGCCGCACGGGCTAAGGGGGGGGGGGGGGGGGGGGGGGGGGGGGGGGGGGGGGGGGGGGGGGGGGGGGGGGGGGGGGGGGGGGGGGGGGGGGGGGGGGGGGGGGGGGGGG